TCATCAGGATGCACCCAGAGCTGGCTCAGAATGTCACGGGATGGGGGGGCGGGGGGGGGGGACAAGGAACAAAAAAAGAAAAATCTGCATTCCCACATTCAAATGAGCTCCTGCAGGAGAGGGAAGACAGCATTTCCACGGAGGAAGTAACACAGTGAGGGGCCAGACCCTGGCCAGCTCCTTGGCCACTACAAGCTGGACAGCCAGCCATCCTGCAAGTAGCCCTTGGTGGCCTCTGTTCCCTCATCATTTCTCATTAGTGAGCCATGTCCACCACGTGCAGCAGGGACAGAGCTCTGCAGGCAATGGTACCAGGCTCACACTTAGTCGAAGGGAGAAAGGTCTTTTCCGGCAGCGAGAAAAAAGCTGGAGGCCGAAGGTCTCCTGGGACAGCGCCAGAGGTTGGCACCAGCTAAGCTGAGGCTGCTGTGTGACCTGCAATGGCTTCCTCAGCCCAGAGCTACTCTTGTCCCCGTGCCCAGCAATGCATTGTACCTACCTATCCTCCCCAGTGCGATTGCAATTCAATCTTGAAACATTGAAAGCCCAACCCCCAGCACCCACACTCTATCACAGCGGCAAACACCGTCCTGTGCAGTAGGCCAGCTCTAAACCCTGGAGGAAGGCTGGACTTCTCGCCCCCTTCCCTCCCACAGCTCATGCCAACCTTGAAACACATCCAGAGTCTTCAGGTCCCCCACTTAGACTTCATTACACAGCTGCCTGCAGCAGGCTCTGGGCATCCATCCTCCTCCTGCCCGGTTAACCCCCCTGTGGCGGGCGGGGGGGGGGAGAAGGGGGTGGCCTTCTAAGATGCTTCTCGACCCTCTTAGAGTTCCTGAGCCACCCCCAAGGAAACATCAGCAGCCGATAGTCCACAGCATGAGCACAGCTCCCCACTTTCCTTCAGAAGCTCTCCCAGCTGCCTGTCTGTGCTTCAGACCCCCTGGATCCCTGGCTGTGTTTGACTGGGACATCATCCTTCTCTGCCACTGTCCACTTGCCCAAACCTGTTCCCTCTTCTTTTCTGTGTGTGTGACCTAGTGAACCCTTCTTATTGGGAAATCCCTTTAAAAATCAGAACCTGGCCCTAGTTAACATGGGGTTCACCAGCTATGGCAGGGCTGAAGTGGGGAGTGACCTATGAAAATAGAGTTCCCTGGCCTCTCTGGGTCCCTTCCTCTCCATGCTCCAGCCCCCACCCTGCGGCAGCTACTACCTGTATAGGGCTTGGGAACTTTCCTTCATGGCTAAGGGGTCTGAATCCTGGCTATCCTACCCTTTCCTGCTGGCCAGAACTACTCACCCCTCCCTAATGTTCTTAGCTGCTTGTCCCCGGTCCCCAAGGAGCCTCAAGAACAATATACCCCCTGGTGGATTATTGAAAGGGTTACTAGGGGTGGCATTTTATTTTTCTTGCCACCGACTCAAGCTCCTTGACACTTATGACTGTCCTCTGCAGGCGAAGAACCATAGAAATGCCTCTAACTCATAGTATATACCCTGCAGGACAGCATCATCCTTATAAGTCATTGTCCCCAGCCTGTGTACCTGCAGGAGGATGGTCCCTGCAGTGTAGGGCACAGCTGCTGCTCGAGGGTGTGTGTGGGTTACTGGTTTTGGACCACTCCCAGCCTCTTTTCCTGAGAACCAGTCTCCTTATCAGACGCCGCATATGTGGGTACACATGTCCAGGGACAGAGAAGAGAGCTCTTGCATGGTGATGCAGGCTGAGTGAATAAGCAAGAGTAACCTGAACCAGGAAAAGGAGGCCATGCGGTTAGCTCACTATTAAGTGTGCTCCTTGAAGGGCTATTTCTCTGGAGCTTGCTCCTGGGATGGGTTCATGGCCCAGCATTTGAAAGTAGCAGGAACAAGGGATCCGAATAACAGGATTAGAGTTTTTGGGCCCACATGAGCCTCCAGTGCGGCCGCTGCATGTCACTAGCGTGTCAGCCTGTATGGTACATACAGGTGGGTATCTGCACACGATACACAAACTGTCATTCTCACGTCACATGGCATCCATGTGGTCCTGGGCCAAGGCTCTCTGTCTCCATCAGCAGGCCTTTTCCTCCAAGGCTCCTGGCTCACAGGGCACTGGACATTGCCTGTGGCCTTGTGTCCCTTTATCTACACAACGCTCTTTCTGGAATTATCCTCCAGGCTAGGGTGCCGCACAGCGACCTTCCTTATTATTGCATTGCCTTGGTCCAATCATGGCCAGCCAAGTTCCTGTGCCTGTGTGCTTTCCACACTGGTATCTCTGCTGGCCTCAGGAGCCTCCATCCTCAGTGCTGAACAAGGACGGTGGCCCTTAGAGGGTGAACTCCAGGCCTGTGTGGACCTAAGCAGGTATTCCGCATGGAGTAGTGGCTCTCGGCCTTCTTAATGCTACAACCCTTTAATACAGTTCCTCATGCTGTGGTGACCCCCAACTATGCATTATTTTGTTGCTACTTTATAACTGTAATTTTGCTACTGTTATGAATCATAATGTAAATAGCTGATATGTGACTCAAAGGGGCCATGTCCCACAGGTTGAGAATCACTGACAGAGGGTGTTTGAGGGCTAATGAGGTCACGCATGCAAGCAGTGAGTCTGGCCTATAGGGGGCACACATCACCATCAGCACTGTCCCTATCAAACCCCTGGGCTAACTCAAACTCTACTTTTCCTGGCCTCCATTTTTGGAGGAAGATTTCCAGGCTCCAAGAGATTGGGTAGCTTCTCCCAATATCACTCAGCTGAATCTTCAATGCTAAGGTCTTCAGTCACCCTAGATGTCTGTCCTCATGGAGCTTGCCCTCCTCAGAGTTCCTGTTAGGGTGCAGGGAGCTGGTCCGTGGGACATGGGCCGCCTGCCCCTCTCTCCATTTGTATTGAATGGTGTACAACCCATTCACACCAGCACCACAGACAGCTGTTGGGCAGTGGAGTTGAATTGTGTCCACCCAGCTGCTGGCCACCAGGGAAGTGCCCTTTGTCCCATGTCGCCAGGTGTTTTTCTGGGGGTGGGCAGCAATTAGGAACATCTGTGGAGGCCTGGACAGGAGCAGCTGTTGAAGGGAGGGAGACACAGCAGGTGGATCTCCATGTTACCCAATCCTGAGTTCTGCAAAGGGCCCCAACCTCCACTTGTGAGGTGGACCAGGTCAGAGAAATGACCAGTACCAGGGCAGTTCAGAGTAGAACTGGGATTGCCTAAGTCTTTACAAGGATTTTGCAAAGTTTTATCGGCTGTCTCCCTCAATCCTGTGTCAAGATGGGATCATGGAGGCTCCGGCCAGTAAATGATATCTGGCGGTACCTCTAAACTCCCTCCAACCCCATCTCCTGAGGACTCTTAGAATTCTAAACAGCATGTCCACTTCATCAGAGGTAGCTGGGAAGGCAGACCTTTGGGGAGGTGCTGGGTAGGGCTGCAACAGTGAGCCCTGCCCAGCACTCGAGGCCATGGGAAGGCTTGAAAGGCATGCTTGATGGTGCCCATTGGGTCAGGTGGGTCTTGCTGCCCAGTTCCAGGTCATGTTCTATTTTGACCACTAGTTAGGCGCCTGAACCCAGCCCAGCTTCCGGAGAAATCAGCATGGTGCTGCAGAGGGGAAGCTTGGAGGCAGTAAGAGCAGATCAGGGAGGGATTTCTGGAAAGGGAGTGTTGGAGCCCACCCCTCCCCCCGCAGAAGCTTTCTGGGTGCCTGAGACTGTGGGACTGGGGCAGGGACTCTTCTTTGCCAGAAGCCCTGGGACTGGAGCAGAAGAATGCCCGTCCCCCCCCTGCCCAAAGTTTTCAGAGAACCGTTTGGGTTGGGGGGAGGGGCGGGCCCCCACACGACCAGCTGCTTGGAGCAGTGCCTGGGGTCCCCCTCCCCCACACTCACGCAGACTGCATTTCTGTCCGCTTTGAGGCATCCACCGATGTGTGCCGCTGGTGACAGAGGACAGTGGCTGCTTCCCTCTCCCTCGGGCACTGTTCCCTGTCGGCTGTCTGATGTCTGACTATTCGTGGGTCCCAGCCCGATGCTGGGTAGCTGTTTCCCTGACTATAGATGTCTGTGTGTCAGAGCGTGGGTGTGTCTATCTGTCTGCAGGGAGCCTCTCCTGCTGACTCCGTCCTTGACCTCCAGTATCTGTGTCAGATGAGGGGGGCCAGCTCTCCTCCCCCCTCCCATGGGCACTAACGCAGCTGCCACCACTCTGGCTGCACTCAGAACTCAGTGACCTCACTTGTCCACTGCAACAATGACCACCCTACTGAGCTATCTCAGGGGCATTGGTGGCCCGAATCACGCTGCTTTGTGGGTCGCCCCTCCACCCAGAGCTGCTGAGTCCTGCCTGGGTGAACGTGCTCAGCTCTGGGTTGGGTCCGCTCAGGCTCGTTTTTTCCCTTATGTAACTCCACATCTGTGTGAGCCTTACAGGTCACCCTGGACCCTGTTCTGAGCTCTGTCTAACCCCGTGGACACTGAGACCCACGTTCTGTGCATATAAGGCTGGAGAGAACCCCTGTCCCTGGCGACTCTTTCAGAGACCCCTCCCCAATCCTTCTTTGAACATATCTTACCCTAGAAACCTACTTGCCCAAAGCAATATGCGAGAGGGACCCTGGGGAGCAAGTTCCCCAGAGGTGGGGTACAGCCATTTCCCCACCCCACCCGGGTTCTGTCCCAGAATCTCAGGAGCTCAGGGGCTACGGACAAGGGTTTGGCAGGGATCATCAGGGCCGAGGGCACGAGGGCGGACGGATCGCCAAGGGACCAGCTTCTAAGTGCGACCTCAGAAATGGCCCCCAACCCTGTAGTTGGTTAGTGTCCGGGTCGGGCTCTCCGCCAGCCAGCCGCCGTGCGCACCCAGGCAGGGGCTCTAGTCGGCCGGCGGGCACGCGGCGCTGTCCGTGGTGCTGCCCGCGGCGGGCGGGGCGGAGGCGGGACGGAGGCGGGGCGAGGGCGCCAGCCAATAGCGGGGGCTCAGCGCGGGGCGCGGGGGGCGGCGGGCCGGGCGCGGGGCGCACTCGGCTGCGCGCTGAGCTCGGGGTGCACCGACGCGCCGCGGGCGGCTGGAGCTCTGCTTTGCTCTTGCTGCAGCAGCCGCGCCGCCCGCCCCACTCCGCTCAGATTCCGACCCCAGCCCCCTCTGCACCGCCCTCCCGGACTCCAGCCCAGGCTCTCGCCTCCCGCCCCGCGGAACATGCTGCGGGCGCCCCCCGGAAAACCGGGCTGGGTGAAGATCTGGCAAAGACTAGCCTCCCGAGCGGGGGCCCCACCCTGCCGCCCTTCTCTTGGCCCGCACCCTGCCCGGTGTCCCTGAGCCGTGTGAGCCTGCTGGGGCCATGGAGCGCGCGCCGCCCGACGGGCTGCTGAACGCGTCGGGCGCTCTGGCCGGCGAGGCGGCGGCCGCAGGCGGGGCGCGCGGCTTCTCGGCTGCCTGGACCGCTGTCCTGGCTGCGCTCATGGCGCTGCTCATCGTGGCCACAGTGCTGGGCAACGCGCTTGTCATGCTAGCCTTCGTGGCGGATTCGAGCCTCCGCACCCAGAACAACTTCTTTCTGCTCAACCTCGCCATCTCCGACTTCCTCGTGGGTAAAGCCCCCAGACCCCGTCCGCAGCCAGAGTCCAGGGGCGCGGAGCCCGGGCTGGGCAATGGGACTTGGCGCTCCGACCTGGGGTGGCTTCTCAGCGTCCGGGCCTGGGGAGGGGACCTCTAAAAAAAAAAAAAAAAACAAAACCTTAGGATGGTGGGCACGGGCGAAGTTCCTCGCCTCTCGGGCCGCAGGACGGGGGCTGGGTAGGTAGGGATGTCTCCGGGGAGACTGCTCCAGTCGGCGGGAGCTCAACAAGGCGCAAGGCGCAGCAACCGCGGGTACAGCGCTGGTTCCTGCGCCGAACCAAACAAAGGCAGCGGCGCCGGACTCAGGATGCTGTGAGGACGCTGGGGGGAGGGGACATGGAAAGGGGATTTGGGGAGCTGCGCTGGGGAAGGGGACCGTGAGGAAGGCGGGGGTGAAACGAGGGAAACGCTCCGAGGAGCTCGTTCTCACGTGTCCAAGCTCTGCTCCCGACTGGGGGAGGGGGGGCGGGGCAAGCGGTGGGGGCCGGAGCGCCAGACACCTGTTGGGGCTGCGAGCTGCAGCGTCTCCCAGACGCTGGAAGCCGGTTTGGGAGGCGAGAGCGGCTGGCGCGGCTGCAGCCAAGAACCTTTTAAGCCAAGAAAAAAGCTTTCTCGGTTTTTAAGCTGAGAAGGCAGGCTGTCCAACAGCCAAGGTAGGGATGGATGATTGGCTCCAGGACCAGACAGCCAGGGAGGACATATAACCCCCTTTCCTCCCTTGGCGGCTGGCAGGGTTGGCAGAAGCCCAGGTTCTGGGTCCAGAGAGCCCTATGTGGAGGGAGGTCCTTCCTCCTGCCTCCAGGTGCAGAAGACATCGGTGGTCTGGAGGTTTTGTGGAGCCTGGAGGCTGGCAGCTGCTCATTTGTTGGGGGACGGGGCAAATAGGATTGCTAGTCCTTGAAAGGTGGCTACCCTATGAGGGCCAAGCTCTACCCTCTCTCCATGTGGTCGGTCAGTCTGACCCCAAATCCTGAGCCGCCGACCGCTGCTCTCCCTTAGGTGCCTTCTGCATCCCGCTGTATGTGCCCTACGTGCTGACTGGGCGGTGGACCTTTGGCCGGGGCCTCTGCAAGCTGTGGCTGGTGGTAGACTACCTGCTATGTGCCTCCTCCGTCTTCAACATCGTACTGATCAGCTATGACCGATTCCTGTCAGTCACTCGAGCTGTGAGTTCTGGGATGTGGGCATTAGAGTTCATTCCATGTGTTGGGGGCACTGGACACCGAATGGCTGCTACCGAGCTGTAGGCGGATGCCTGGTGGACTTGCTCCCTCTTGACATGTGAGCCACTTTTCAGTGACCATTAGCTGCCGGTAGTGCTAGCGTGGGACAGGAGGTCAGCTTGGATCTCCGTACTCTTGCAGGAAAGGATGTCTGCGAACAGCCTCTGTCCTGGGCAGGTCCAGAATCCCTGGAGGGATTCTGAGGAAGGGCCTTCACCCTTCCCACTTTTGTATACATGAAGATGTGCACACAGCCCCAGGAAAGTCGGCCACAGTTCCTAGCTGCACAAGCCCCATGGGTGTGGAGGGGGGCTGCTGCTGCTGCTGCTTCACCTTCTGTCCTTAATGGCTCACTCACCTCAGGCTTTATCAGGGACCGGCTTGCGAAGAGCGCCAGCATGAAGCCCTCCTGACCCTCCCTAGGTCCCTACTTCCACCCCTTGAACCACCCAGGGAGTGGTGCAATCACAGGGCTATTGTGATGGCTGCCCAGTATAGAGCTGGCATGTGGCAAGTGTGCCCTGGACCTCTGGTTGTTGGTCTCGTGGTTCCCAAGGTGGCTATTAAGGACACTTATTTTGGCTGTCCCGCCGAGGCTCCATAGCAGCATTCCTGCTCGCTTCCGTCCCCTTATTTACTGGTTGCGCTTGGAGGTTACACATGATGTTTCTTGGGAAAGACTAGATGGTCCCACCTCCCTACCTTTTCTGGGCATTCTCCTTCAAGAAAGGGTACTTAATTCGTGTGTGTGTGTGTGTGTGTGTGTGTGTGTGTGTGTGTGTGTGTTGGGGAGGGGAGGGGAAGTACTAGAGCAGCCACAGGAGCAAGTCTTCTCCCGGTCAGCACAGCTAGGTGCTGAAGATGGCCCTGGCCCTTGCAAGAAACAAGGATCAGAAACAGTTGTGTGTGGCCCCTGGTGCTGTGAATTCTAACCTGGGTGCTAGTGATGCAGCAGCCAAAGCAGGGCCCCATGGAGCTTGTAGTTGGTAGGGGCTGGTAAAGAGGCAAGGTTCTGGTTAGCTGTGGGAGGCTCCGGGGCTTTGTGGGAGAGTTGGCAGGGCATCAGCCAGCAGGGGACACAGGCAAGGGACGGTTTGTGGAGAGGAGGAACATGGCACCTTGCCATGGCAGAAATGGAGACCCAGGGGCTGCTCTGAGCTTCTAGTCCAATGTTTCTGACCTCATGCATGGTCTGTACAACCCCCCTGCAGGTCTCCTACCGGGCCCAGCAGGGGGACACACGACGGGCAGTGCAGAAGATGGTACTAGTGTGGGTGCTGGCCTTCCTGCTGTATGGGCCTGCCATCCTGAGTTGGGAGTACCTGTCTGGTGGCAGCTCCATTCCCGAGGGCCACTGCTACGCGGAGTTCTTCTACAACTGGTACTTTCTTATCACGGCCTCCACTCTCGAGTTCTTCACACCCTTCCTCAGCGTCACCTTCTTCAACCTCAGCATCTACCTGAACATCCAGAGGCGCACCCGCCTCCGGCTCGATGGGGCCCGGGAGGCTGGTCCGGAACCCCCACCTGATGCCCAACCCTCACCGCCTCCAGCTCCCCCCAGCTGCTGGGGCTGCTGGCCACGAGGGCATGGGGAGGCCATGCCACTACACAGGTATGGGGTGGGCGAGGCAGGACCTGGTGTTGAGGCTGGGGAGGTGGCTCTCGCGGGTGGCGGTGGCGGGGGTGCTGCTGCCTCACCCACCTCCAGCTCCGGCAGCTCCTCGAGGGGCACTGAGAGGCCCCGCTCACTCAAAAGGGGCTCCAAGCCATCGGCGTCTTCCGCATCCCTGGAGAAGCGCATGAAGATGGTGTCCCAGAGCATCACTCAGCGCTTCCGGCTGTCGCGGGACAAGAAGGTGGCCAAGTCGCTCGCCATCATAGTGAGCATCTTTGGGCTCTGCTGGGCCCCGTATACACTTCTAATGATCATCCGAGCTGCTTGCCACGGCCACTGCATCCCTGACTATTGGTATGAGACATCCTTCTGGCTTCTGTGGGCCAACTCAGCTGTCAACCCTGTCCTCTACCCGCTGTGCCACTACAGCTTCCGCAGAGCCTTCACCAAGCTCCTCTGCCCCCAGAAGCTCAAGGTCCAGCCCCATGGCTCCCTGGAGCAGTGCTGGAAGTGAGCCGCTTCCCTGCCCGCCTGTGGCTGTGCCCTTGTATTTGTTACCTGGGCAGCCCTGGTGTGGGCCCTGTGCACTCTAAAATGCCACGATAGCCTCTTAGATCATCACCCCCCGCAGTGGGGCAGCCCGGTAGGCTGGCCAGGGGCCCTCACTGGTGTGACTGGAGCGTGCTTGGCTGGCTCTGCCACCACATCCTCCTTCACCCCAGAAGAGTCAGACAATCTAGGAGTCCCAGGCATGTGCTCCGCCTCCACAGGTGGCGTGGAGCCAGTGGTGTGTCCCCCTTTTGCACTTGGTGGTTGGTGTCCTCTCTAATGCAAACCTTGGCGTGTGCTCCGGGCTCCTGTCCCAGCCGTGTGCCCTGCATGTGCACACGCGCGCGCGCACACACACACACACACACACACACACACACTGCAACACCTTGCCTCTCCCAGACAATCTGGGGGGGAGGAGTGGGTGATGCCCCTTGCTGCCTCTGTCTCTCGCTTAAGCCCAGAGCCCAGTCCCTTTATCCCTCTCCCTGCAACTCTTGGCCCCACAAAGTGTCAAGTGCCACAGGAACCTTGAAGCCTTTCTCTGCCTTTCCCGTTCTGGATGTTTTCAGGAAGATGGAAGAGAAGGAAACGCGTCTGTGAACTTGATGTTCCTTGGATGTTTAATCAAGAGAGACAAAATTGCCGAGGAGCTTGGGGCTGGATTGGCAGGTGTGGGCTCCCACGCCCTCCTCCCTCAGTGCTGCAGCTTCCGGCTGAGCCGCGCCAGCTGCTTCTGCCCGCCCCACCCCCAGGCTTGGGACCGATGGCCCTACTGGCGGTGATGCCTGCTCAGCTGGCCAAAGCCTGCCCTGCCCGTCCCATCTGTGCAGTCAGAATTTGGGGGTGGGTGCATGGGTTGTTGGGTAAAGGCGCTCTTGACTTGACTGTGTGCCCTGAGGGCCCGGCGGCTTACAGGGGAATCAGCAGGAGAGCAGGCTGGGGATGCCTGGGCGGATCGTGTCGTCCTGTCCTGTGTACCCACCTCAGCCCTCTGCATGTTCTCCTGTCTGTCTTTGTGCCCTGGTGTGCGGCCTCTGCCAATGTGAAGACACAATAAAGTGTATTTTTTTATTGGTGCTGACTTTTGAGGACTTTGTGGGAGTAGCTATTGTTCAGGGTTCCACTCGGAGGCCCCGTGGAGACAACAACGTGAGTGACCTTGGTATTCTAACTGGGGAACTGGGTGGGAGAAATCCAGGCTGCTGCCCCAGGGTTTGGTTCCCCCAAAGGACTATGCCCAGCAGTGTCCCATCACAAAACCTCCCAAGGACCTGGAGGGGCAGAGACCCAGCTGGTGCCCCTTTTCAGAGGGTGGCACGGTGCTAGAATGGCTCCCGTATGCCTTCAGAATCAGGTCTGTTGCACCAGTGCAGCCAGTCTGTTCCAAGACAGTCACTCAGCATTCTTGCCAGAAATCACTCCTTGTCGCCGCCTTGACCTTACATGTGGGTGGCCGGGCTGTGTGCTGGCAAGACACAGACCCCAGGGAGAGCCTTGACCGTGCCTCATGCTTCAAGAGAAGCTGGAGAAAGTGGTAGCAAAAGGGCTGGGGGGTGGGGTGGCGGAGAGGGCTTCTGGGGTTGCGAGGACTGAGAGATGCAGACATACCATCCCAGGTGAAAACCTGGCAGTGGGCTATGGTTGAAGGTCGGGGACAGTAGGCAGAAGACAGGTTGGAAGGTGGACAGCCTCATGGCTAGCATCACCACTGTAACGGGACTTCACTCTTCCTCCCCTGAGCAGGGAGGGCACTTGCCACCTCAGCCTCACCGCTGGGCACCACGTGCTGCACCGGGGAGCATCCCGCAGCCCGCGAAGCCCTTCTCCCTCCAGATGTGCTCTCTCTCCCTGCAGCTGCGCCTTCCCCAACTACTGACAAGTCAGTCCCAAAGCGCAGACTTCCCCTCCCTGCCTGTCTTCCTCTCTCTGGATTAGAGAGAGATCCTCGGGCTCAAGCCGGACCTTCTTCCTCAGTCAAATCGCCCAGGCCCCTCCTTAGTCACTAGAGTGTGGAGTCCTTGTCCCCTGTGCCGCACTGGCCCGGGCTGGGCCCTGTCCTGAGCAGTTGGGGGTGGAGAGAGTGGGTGCCACCCTCTCTGCTCACCACCCCCACCCTCTTGTCCCTGAGAGCTGAGAGGTTCTGCGCCTCCCTCAGCAGGCTGACACTAGCTCCCTCGCCCTTCACCGGGCCTGGCCTCCCCAGCGGGCGGGCATCTGTCCCCAAAGCCCAGAGTGATCTGGGGAAGGACAAAGGACTGCTCTCTCCAGCGACGATGGGCACTTCCAGCATAGCCAGCGCCCAAGCTGCCCCTCCACCCGGCCCTACTAAATGGCTACAAATTGGAGGATAAAAGCACAGGCTTTCAAGCAATTTTGCCTTCAATCTCTGGAAACTGCCGCTCCCGGAGTCGCTGTGTGAGGACGGAGGAGGAGAGAAGAAAGACTGGGAGTCTATTGGGCCCGTGTCTGCAGCAAACAAACAGGCGGAGGGGGCCTTCTGCAGTCCCAGCCTGGAGGACACAGAGCTGTGCTGGGGCCCAGCAGTGCAGCTGTTGTTGCCTGAGCACCTACTGTGCAGTTGCCAGCAGAGCAGCACAGGTGTGGGCCCTGAGCCAGAGGTGACAGGTAGAGGACCCTGGGGTAAGCAGTACAAACAAGATCATAGTTGCCCTAGGTCTGGGAGGAAGACCAGCTACCCGACAGGGGACAGACATCTAGTTGGATTATAAGTCAGGGCCAAGGCCAGGCTGAGGGCCACCTGGAGGAGTGGGGCTCAGAGCCAGCAGGGTCCCTCTGGGTACTGACAGTCAGTGCCAGACATCTCTTCATCCTTCACACTGGCTCTGAAGACGCCCTGTGAGGAAAGGTCCTGACACATACAAGCTGGGCACCTTCCCAGATTAAATGAGGAGCCTAAGCTACTGGGGGCCCCATCAAGTAAACTCAGTTCCCTCCTCTCCACAAAAGGAGAAATGACCCAGAGCCCGGGCTGTGAGTGGGAATGGCTGGGGTCTCCTTGACCCCAGAGCCCTGTTGTACAAAAGCCATATGGCTGCCGGCTGCCTCTCTGTTCTCCATCCTACCTCAGTGCCTCTGCAGGGCTCCACCCTCCTGGAAGACAGCGTCTGAGCTCCTGTCACCTGGGTGCAGGTGCCTGGTGGCTGGTCGGGGGGTTGCCCCAGGATGGGAAGGAAAGCAGGGTCCTTGAGAAAGGCTCTGTTGATCTTAACACAAAGTGTCTGTTGCAGAGATTTTTGAGATGGGGTTTTACGTAGCTCAGGCTGGCTTCCAATTCATTATATAGCCGAGGATGACCTTGAACTTCTGATCTTCCTGCTGCCACCTCCTGGTGATAGGATTCTAAGCATGAGACACCTTGCCTGGTTTTATGTAGCACTAGGAATGGAGCCCAGAGCCTCAGGCATACCAAGCAAGCATTCGCCAACCGAGTTACTCCTCCAGCCCTCAAAACACGCTAAGCTGGGTTGTGGTGCCCACCTTTAATCCCAGCGTCAGGAGGTAGAGGCAGATAGATTTTGGAGTTCGAGGCCAGCCTGGTCTACAGAGCAAGTTCTAGGACGGCCAGGACTACACAGGGAAACCCTGTCTCAAACTCCCCTCCACTCCTCCCCACACCAAACAAACAAACAAACAAACAAACAAGAAGCAACACTGGGCACTCACTATGTGCCCTCCACTGTGCTGAGACAAGGGGTCAGCAGCCGAGTCAGTGCTGTGGGAAGAAAAGGGAGGAGCAGAGGGGGTCAAGGGGGTCAAGGCTCAGCTGCCTGGGTGGCAGAGGACAGTGCCTCAAAGGGCACTGAGACTCGGGGCCAGGGCCTCCCCAGCTGGTCTGCGCTGAGGCTGAAAGTAAAACCAAGCCATCTTAAGGGGGTGTCCCGATCTCTGCATGCATGAGCAGCCAGGTGGAGCGGGGAGGGGTGGGTGTTGGGGGTCCCAGGCTCTGCTCCCCAGCAGCTTGGTTTGGGGCAGCCAGGAAACAGCATCACTCTAATATGCAGTCTGGTGGGGGCCCCTCTTCCCTTGCCTCTTTCCCCCCTTCCCCCCCTTCCCCCCTTCCTCCCCCCTTCCTCCCCTCTTCCTCCCCTCTTCCTCCTTTCTTCCCGCCCTCTTCCTCCCCCTCTTCCCTCCTCTTCCTCCCCTCTTCCTCCTCCTCTTCCTCCCCCTCTTCCCTCCTCTTCCTCCCCCTCTTCCTCCCCTCTTCCCTCCTCTTCCTCCCCCTCTTCCCTCCTCTTCCTCCTTTCTTCCCTCCTCTTCCTCCTCCTCTTCCCTCCTCTTCCCTCCTCTTCCTCCCCTCTTCCCTTCCCTCTTCCACTGTCCCCCAGCAGGAAGTGGCTCTTGGGCCGCTGCAGGCATCCTGTCATTACCGCCATTGCTCCCCGGTTGGCATCTGCTGTGAGTGGGTAGTGCCACCCTAACCTGGCATTAAGTGCTTGGGTCCCACCTCCCTGCAGGAAGGCAGACTTTGCAGGGTGGGGTGGGTACTGACTAGGGGAAGGCCACCTTCCCACTGCTTCTCCCTGTCTCAGCGCCACAGGGGGGCAAACGCAGGCCCCTCAGCCCCAGAACCTAAGAGCCCTTTCTTTCCCTGGGGTTCAGTGAGGACAGAGGGAATCTCACTTCTGATGTTCAGGCCGTATGGCACGTGGATGACCACACTGGTGTGGTGGTGCCAGGTACTTTAGACAAGGCTCTGGCTTCTTAGAGGCCAGGGAATAGCTCTCTATATCTGGAAGAGTCACCATGGTACCAGCCCAAGGACTGTGACTAGATTATAATGATGCCAAGGACAGCTTTGGGCAGTTACACTGTGCCCCAGGCCCTACTCTGAACCCTTAAAAACAAACAAACAAATAAAAAACCTCCAGTTCTCAAATGCTGTGAATTCTATTCTTCATGTTTTACAGATGTGGAAGCTGTGGCACAGAGGGGGTGGGTGGATTAACACCCACAGCTGGCTCCCTCACCCCACAGCTGGCTCCCTCTGAGATTACTTCTCAAGGTGTTTAGCATCCAGGGTCACCTTCTTGTACCTCTCTTGGTACAAGAGATATCCCCCACTCAGGAGCTGCATTCTTCCCCACGGAACCTGTCCTTCCTCATGTTTAGTTCTGTGGGGCCACAGCACCCTGCTTGAGATGACCCCTGAGTCATCACTTGGGAGGTGGAGGCAGGAGGTGCAGAACTTCAGGGTTCTATTTGACTACATAGTGTGCTGAAGTCAGCCTTGGACGCTTGAGGCTCTGTTACACAACAAATCGAGACAAGGAATGGAGCCAAGTGTGGTGTCTGTCGGCAATCCTAGCGCTTGGGGGTCTAAAGCAGAGGATCACCGTAGATTTGAGGCTAGCCTGGGCTATGGCTAATTTTCTGGATGATCTGGGCTACCTGTCTAAAAAAAATACAAAGGAAGAAAGGAAAAAAGGAAAAGAGCAAAGAGAATAAAACAATACCTAAACCCAGATGTTCAAACGTTAAACCCCACAGCTCCACTGGCACCTTGACATGAGCTATAATGGGCTTGGGCAACTCTGCTTGGGCTCGGTTTGCAACTTCCTCAGCAGACAGTCCATATTTCTGGCATCTCCAAAATCCTGGAGCTGCAGCTGTGGTTTAGGCTTCACCCTCACAGCAGGACTTTGGTTGCCTTACACTGTTCTTTAGGCAGCCTCTCTCTGTAGCTCAGGCTCATTTCAAACTCATGACAATCTCCCAAATGCTGAGGTCACCAT